AATAAAAGACGCCGTGGACAAGACAGTTGTCGTAAAAAATATATTTGGCCAAAAAGGGAAAAACACAGATTGGCAGAAAATCGTGTCCGTCCGACTTCGAGTGTCGTCTCGGCTAACTTAGCTTAGCTGTTGTCGTGTGTGACGTCATTTGCGTCGGCGCTGATTGGTTGAAATCAAAAGACGCGCTTGCGTACATGTTCGCGCTGAAACACGCACAGCAGAGAGCAGCGGACTATCTACTACTGAGGCTCGCTTAGCTTGAGTGGAGTCGCAACAACAGTAATACCCTCGCCTCGCATTCTCATGGCCTCGCCATATCTTGGAGATTTCGAAATTTCGGCCCGAACGGAAGCCATAAAGGGTACACGTGTGCACACAAAAGGAAGATTGATCATTGAATGTCGAGTATTTGAATAGCGTTTTGTGTAAACTAATTCATGCTTGATCGGCCAAGTGCGTGCGTGCGTGTGTGTGTGTGTGTTATTTATTTTTTTTCCGGAATTTTCAGAAAAGTCCACTTTCATCTCTGATGTTGTAGCCACAGTGTGTTTTAGGCATCAGCATGTCATTGACTTGTGCTCGGACACGCTTTGGAGTGCACACCTTTGGTCGTCAGTCGTGTGTTTTCTCTTTGCAACTTGCTGACATTCCTCTGATGACTGCTAGTTTGGGCAGGCCAGAAGAGGTATGGGGAAGAAGTATTTCTTATCCACAAATGGGAGCAAACCCGGGATAATTCTCATAGGTTATACACGGCGGTTTGGGTCACACTTTCTCATTGAAATGTGTTCATGTGTTCGGGGGGAAGGAAGGCAGAAAGAAGCAAACAAACAAACAAACAAACAAACACACGCACACAGGACATTGTGTTAAACATAAAAAAAAATGCAATCATTTGACTCATGTTTAACCTATATTTAATGCACTACAAATTCAAGATATTTTATGTTTAAAATTATTAACTTAATTGTTTTTAGATGATTCTAAATGATCATTCATTTAGAATTTTATGACTGCAACACGTTCCAATAAAGCTGGGACAAGTGGTGAAAAGGACAGAGAAATTTTAGAAAGGCTCATCAAACACCGTTTGGAACATCCCATAGGTCAGGGGTGTCAAAGTCAAATGGACGGAGGGCCAGATAAAAATTTTTGCTGCAAGCCGAGGGCCGGACTGATCGAATGTTCATTGAAAATTTTAAAAATGACCACATATCGTTTATTGAAGCAAATTTAATTGACTGAAAACCTAACAAATACATTCCAATACGGTCAGATAAATAAAGCAACATTTTTTATGGCTATGTCAGTAAACTTTAATTTTCAACAGGCACAAAAAAATTTCCTTTGTATAAAAATACCCATAACATGAATGAAAGAAGCCGATATTATTCAAGGCACTATCACTA